ACATTTTCTAGAAGCAGGATATGGGCTGCTGTGGTTCCCCTGCTTTACCTGTGGCAGGTTAGGGTGTTAGGTCTGTGTTGTGTCAGGTTTGATGGCAGTCTTATGTAGCGTTTAGATTATGGTTTATATGGACTGGTTAGGACAGACAGGCAGGGCGTTTGTCTAGGTGACCTCTGGAGGTCCCTTCCAGCGCTATTTCTCTGTGATTCTGTGAATTATTTATTTCCCCCTCTTGACATGGGCGATCTTTGATTTCTAGTCCTGCAGCCTCTGTTTTGTGAGCTCTTTAGTAGCACAGGAAGTGAGTATATGAGCATTTAGCTCTGGGTTTCTCAGGTTTTTGTACAGAGATTCCTGCTGCTTTACTTTTCTAAGTAGGAAAGTATCAGTATTTGTCATTTGTTTTTTCCTGCTGTAGGCAAACATGTTGCTGGTGGAATGAAGAGGGTGCATGCTGGATGGAGGAAGGGACTGTGCCCCTCCTAGCTCTACAAGAAAAGTCAAGATCAAAGGTCCACCCAAGCCTGGTAGCCCACACAGGGGGGTATGACTAAGGTATGCCCATTTCTGTAGTCAGCAGCACACAAGGGAGTAACGTGGCTAGCGTCACCTTTGGCCACCCTTGTGTCTTCAGCCTAAATGGTTAGATACCCATTCACAGCTGGATAGACTGGGACATGAGACCACAGTAAGTCACAGTAAGAAGTCTTAACCACTTTACCCCCATACCCTAACTCTGGGAGACACTTCAGTATTGAACTCCCTCCTAGTCCAGTTGTAGATCTTTGTATACAGTTTAGTTTATGTAGGTCACTCTTACTTTTGTAGCTCTGGGCCTATATATTGTTCTGCCAGAGCATTCCAATCTTGATCTGCACTACCCTTGCTAGTCTAGTCTTGGGGCTTCTTCCATAGCCTGAACCCAAGACTATGCACAGTCCTGCCAGGGTTTCTCAGCCATGACCTGTAGTTTCTGGCCTGATCTTCTTTTGAGAAGAGGCACCCAACGGTGCACTGGTGACTAGGATGAGAACATCAAGCATGATTCCATTTGTGACCTGATGTAGGATTTCCATCCTAAGCTCTTGAGGTGAAAAAGCAGGAGGGTGCTGAAAGAGCTACTTCCTCAACTTAATGCTCTGCACAAGTAGTTTCTTGATTTAAGATTGTACATACGCTTAGAGCTCAGGTAATAAAGTCCCAGGGGATTTACTCCTGATTTTATGCAGCATAACTAAAGTTAGAACTACCTGCAATTCCAGGGGAGTTGCACCTGCTTACACTAGGTCTGAATTTGGTTCATTGTCTTTAAAGTGTAATGAATGAGACAGGGCCTGGATACTGAGTGGTTACTCAATATCCGGGTTATTGAGTGGTTGCCAGTGCAATTGGAAAGAGGCTTGTAGAGGCATTAAGAGGGTTAATTAGAACTGAGATCTTTCACTTCCATTTGTTCAGCTTCATTTTTAGTGAGTAAGCCAAGCTATCAGCAGGGACAGCTGCATGAGATTTTGCAACAGGATGAGCCCTCAACTGAACAAAGAGAAACTAGCACCTCTTGTGGGCTGGAGGTGCTGGCCTTCCAGGTAGAGGTGAATGTAGGCTGGGGACCAGGCTAGAGATGTAAAATTTCCAGAAATTTTGAAGTCATGGAAAAAAAACCCCATTTTTCCCTCCATTTTTTTTGGGGGGGGGAGGGGGAATGGAAATTTTGGGAAAATTTGAAATATATGCAATACTTATTTTCTTAGCACCCTTTACAGATCTAAATTCACTTTGCTACTTTAAGAACATAAAATGTATTATGTATAACTTGGCTTGCTCATAAAATTATCATGTTTTGTACATTTATTAAATTTAAAAGTATAGTTTATTCAGACAATAATCACCAATTTACTGATTTAATTTACTTTATAATTTTTTTGTTACAAATGGAGCTACAAGCTGCTGAACTCTAAGGAACCTAGCATCTCTTAGTTTTTGCCAGTTTATGGGAAGCAGGCAAAAATTAAAGTTGAAAATAGAAGAAACTATCAACTTTATAGTAAAACAAAGGAAGTTATATATTCTGGACTTAGTCTCCTCCACAGTGTCAAGCAGATACAGAAAACACTTGTTTTTAGAAAAAGAGCTGAGAAAAAAAGGAACCCCGCCTAAGACTCATTGAATACAAATTTTGCTTCATGAAACTTTGTCTAATAAGTCTCATTTTCTGAACTGTCACTATCAGCGGTTAGTGCTTTTCTGATCCTTCATTTTTATCATCTTCACGGGCTTCTGAAAACTGAAAGTTTGCCTGGATTGAGGCACACTTCTCTACTCTTTCACATGTTAGCTTATTTCTTGATTTGGTGTGAGTATTTCCAAACATAGACCAGTTTCTTTCACATGCCGCAGAAGATGGAGGAATCTGAAGCAGGTGAAAAGCAAGAAGAATCAAAGTCTGTGTCGTGCGAAGGCCTTGCACCCATGTTGCAGGAGGCATATGCTTGCCAGAGTCCCAGACTGCATTCCTGGACCAAATACCTGAAGATGTTCTGTATTCTGCAACACTTGAAAGTACCTTTCCAACATCAAGTCCAAAGTGTGTTGCTTGTTTTGTAGTCCAGTCAAATGCAGTAATGGTGCTATCATCACTAACATTTCTGCCTTTGAATCTTGGATCCAAGAGATTTGCAGCAGCATGAATTGATTGGTAACAGAATTCTTCCCATCTGTTAATAAAGTCTTTCACTTTTCTTTCTTCTGTACTTGTAAGTGGAGATACACTTAGCTTCTCAAAAATGGTTGATTTAATCTGGGCCATTTGGTAAGGAATGTCTGACAAAAGCACACTGTCTGATTTAGATGCAGTGATTGCTGAAGAAATTGGCTTTAGAATCTTCAGGGAGTTCTGCAGCTGAACCTGGAAGACATCCTCATCAAGTGCAGTGTCCTTTACACTTCTGGGTACTTAAAGATCCTCAATTATTACTGTTTCTTGAAGAGCTTCTTTGTTTTTTAGTAAACTTTCAAATGAGATCACCACTTCACCCCATCTAGTTTTACTACAGAGTTTGAGCGTCTCTATTTTATTCTTTGCGTTCTTTTCTTCCTGCTTCTTCTTAAAGACTGCAGCTACAATATGAATAGCTTTTACATGTTTTATAACTTCTTTTGCTCTTCTATAGATCTTTTGCAGAGTGTCCAACTTCATGATATCATTAAAAAGCAAGTTGAGCCCATGGGATGCACATCCTATTGCAGTTATATGTGGATATTTATCCATTATGATGTCTTATGCTGCTTTCATGTTACTTGCATTCTCAGTCAGCAAAGCAAATACTTTACCACTCCCAAACTTCTGTAGGACCTCACATATTTTACTACTGATATACTCTACAGTATGTCTGTTCTCTCCTGTTTCAATGCTTCTGTAAAAATCTGGTTGAAGTGTTGTTATCACAAAGTTTACAATTCCTTCTCCCTGCACATTTGTCCATCCATCTGTAAGTGCTGCAAGACACAGTGCTTTGTTGATTTTTCCTTGCACAGATTGCATTACACATTCATATTTTGACTCTAAAAGAGGCTTGCTCAAAGAATGTCTGCAGGGCAAACGGTATGATAGTCTTAGTAATTTAAAAGCTTTCTGCCAGTATGCATTTTCAGTTATTGACAATGGCATCCCAGAAGGATATATTGCACTTGCAAGAGCTTGGTCAATTTTTTCCTGCTCTTCCAGTGTCATCTTGTCTACAAATGAAGCTATTGAGAGTCTTTTGTATACAGTTGGTTGCAATATTTGGTTACTTGAGGATGTTGATTGGGCAACCCTTTGTGATGGTGATGTTATAAAAGAAGAAAGAGCAGCAGCAGTAGGAGGACTTCTGGATCGAGAATGTTGGAAAGAGCTACTTGCACTTTCATCATTGTCATGGGATGGGGTCCTGTGGGATGGCCGTGATCTTCCCAAGGCCCCCTTACCATGCCAAGTTGGCCCAATGGGCACCCTCGATTCTTGCCCGCCACGTCTTTGATGGTAAATATATAATAGGGAGGCTGCCTTTATGTCGTCCTGGACATGGTTTTGCTGTACTCTCTGACCCCGTGGGCTCCTGGACGCCTTGCGGATCCTGTTCTGCAATGGGTGTTTTGGGGCACCCTAGTCTTATGTGCTATGCGTGGCTCCAACGATCCCTTTACCACACCCCAAGCCTCGCAGCTGGAATTGACATTGTTTAGTCTGGACCTTGTTATAATTTGGCCCCCAGGTCCTCCCCGGGCTCCCCAGAGCCCTGTCTCGCCCCACGCCCCCCTGGCACTCGGGCTCCCCACGGCCCTGTCTCGCACTGTGCCTCCACAGCCCTGCAAAGTGCTGTGCCCTTTCTGGCGCTGGGGTCGGTGCACCCCCAAATGCTGCGCCCTCTGTGGTGCCAGGGTCCCCACACTGCTGTGGGTCTCTATGAGGCCTCCTCCATCCCCTAATAGCCTCACCCAAACCACCGGTGTCAAACAGCAAACAAAACACAAGCCCCTGGGCTATAACATAAATTCAAGCCGCCCGGCTATAACATCATTCAAGCCACACCAGGGGTGCTCCATCCCTCACCAGTATCAGAGGCTGTACCTGCAGTCAGGCCTCTCCCCTTTTGCTTGCTCTGGGAGAGCTCCTTCTCCTTTGGCTGCTGGCAGGGAACTGCCATCCTGGCCTCAGTCCTGGGGTTTATATGTGATCCAGGCCTTGCCCCTTCCAGTCAGCTGACCGCTGGCAGGTGTGGGGCACTAGCTCACTCTGGTTGCCCTTGTAACCAGCCGCTGGGGCTCCCCACTCACTGCTAGGGCTCTTCCCCTAGCAGTTTCCACTCTTCAAAGGAGCAGGGCACCTAAGTGCTCTGTGAGAATCATCATGATCTACCTCCTCCTCACTTATACCCATGAAGGATTTTTTAATGTCTGCAGGACACTTCTTAAATACAACGATGTGTTTGGTCAACCTAGTAGCATTTGGAAATGCATATTTCATTTGACAGTATTTGCAAACCACGTTTTTTTTTCAGAATAACTAGCAGCGTGGAAATGCTTCCATATGCTAGAAGTTTGTTTCACCATTTTGCTGCAGGAGAAAAAAGAAAAATGTAATTTAGTGGCTAGCTTGCATATATAAACACTAAGTTACAGCATATACCCATTTAGTAATGGATGGAGGAGAGGCCTCCTCAAAGTTAACTGTGAACAACTTCCCTGCGCTGCAGGCCTCACCTCACTGCTAAAGTTGGGTAATTTGTCACAAAACATCAGATAAGTAGGAATTCAATTATGAATTACATAGGTTATGAAAATATACTAATGCAGCTAAAATAGTTTAATATACTGAATTCAGAAAAATGTAAACTCTTACCTTTCAATAAAGAAGTATACTTTCTTTCAGCTCCTTTGTGCTGCTTTTGTGCTGCTGTGGATCTCATGGGCCAGAAGGAGGCAGGTTCCTTCCAACTCCAAAACCTTTAGACTTGCTCTGTAGGGCTGTACAAAGCTTGGGGTGCTGATTCGATTGGGATGAGATTCAGCCCGATTCGATGGCCAAATCTCTGAATCTGAATCGAATCAGAGGACCAATTAAAAGGTTTGAATTGATTCAGAGAGCTTCAGTGATTCGGGCAGTCCCTGCCCATTGCAGCATGGAGCTAGACCCGGACTCTGAGCTGGTAAGTAGGGGCCGGGGGCCAGGGGGAGGGGACCATAGGAGGACCCCTGCCAGGCCCCTGCCTACTCTCCCAGCCCCCCACAACCTCTGCCCACTGCCCGAGCACCACCACCCCATGGCTGCCTGGCCCAGCCCCAGCCCTTTAAAAAAAAGCCCCTACTCACCAGGTCCTGTCTAGTGGGAGGGAATTCTGTGCTGCCCCCCACTGCCCCATGCCACATGGGGGGCTCTGCCATGAGCTCCTCGACCCCCACCTGCTCCCCCAGCCCCTCCCAGGGCTGCCCCACCAGCCCCGGCTCCCAGCCCTTTAAGAAACAAACCAACCCCTCCCCCCCAGACTCACTGGCTTCTGCAGCAGCCTCGGGGCTTTGGGGGGCTTGTGTAGAGGCCTGCCCCCCCCTCCATGTGGCAGTAGCCGGTGAATCAGGACTTTTTTTTTCTTCCAAAGAGCCTGAAGCTGGGGCACGCGGGGCAGCCATTGAGAGCAGGTGGGGGACGGGGCCTGTGTGATTTGGAGATTCGGCTGACTTGGCAGCAGCCAAATCTCCAAATCAGATTCAGCCAGATTAATTCGGGACAGTGATTTGAATCACCAAATTGAATCGCTGTCCCCCAAATTGGCCGAATCTGAATCCGAGGCAAATACTAGCTGCTTCGCACAGGCCTATTGCTTTTGTCTCCTCTCCTGAGGCTTTTGAGCAAGCAGGGCAATAAGCTCCTTATTTCTAACCTCTACAGGAATAAATGGATGCTGCTGCCAGTGTCCACTCCCAGTCCTGTGAGGCCTAGTCAGGAGGACAGGGGCAGATCTACCAACCTCTAGATCAGAAGTCAACAATAGAGGAAGTCCACAAGCAAAGAAGGCACTGAATCCTTCTTCCTTCTCTTGTGAAAATGGCAGTGCCCCCTGGGGGCAGAAATGCATCTTCCTCTTGCGTTTGAGAGTTGCCCTGTACTGTTTGTCCTTGGTGTATAGGAATTGTAATGATTTCATAGTTTCAT